TTCTCCAAAATGGCAACGTAGGTTCTGTTTCTGGACGGAATGGCGTTCCAGATTGGAATGCTAATACTAAAGAGTGTCCATGTCCTGACTCGTCCATGAAGTGGTTTGACCTAACCTCTGCCCTCAAATGCCTATGCTCACCCAAGCTGTAGATCACAAATACCTTGCTGGTCAGGCTGCGCTCTGCTTCCCATGGGAACTGATGCTTAACTCAGCCCTGCTCGGCGGGGCAGCTGGCTGCCCATCTCCATCGCCCGCCTCATGCTTACTCTGTCTGCCTCATCCTCCGTGTTACATTCTTCCTCCAACAACAAGGTGTGGTTTGGCTTTCGGTTCTGTTTTGCCGGCGAGAATGGTGAAGGCTTTGGTTAACATTTAAGATCAGCATTAAAACAGGCTTCTACTGTGCAGCCTGTGTTATATCACTAAATAAATGGAATTTAATTTCAATGCCACTAGTTGACTCTGAAACTATAAATGTATTAAAGAAAATGGAGTCACAAATGCAACCAACACAACCCTCTACACTTACATCCCAGGCTACACAGCCCCTACAGTAAGATGCAACAAACAGAGAGCCAAACTAACAATCTTAACCAAACAGGTTCCAACACAAGAAGTAAAGGCAGGACAAACAGGTCCGTCTATTAGTATGTCTTCCGTTTTTGCTATGCTGATGTATTGACCAGCCTGGACTATATTGGTTCGGAAACCACCTCATTAACACATATTGACCCAGCTTGTACTAGTCACTGGAGCACATGCCCCCACCACACAGCCCTCTCAATTGTGTGCTCTACTCACCTCCAGATTGAATCCCCTTCTCCAAAATCCCTTGCCAAGTTCAGTGAGTCAGGTGAGGCTGCAGCACAAGCTTCCTTGGTAGGGACGTGGCATGTGTAATTGAGCGGGACTGATGGCTGGCTCTGGGAATGGAACCAGACGGTGATGTGGGTGCGTGAGTGGGGACAATGGCTGGCTAAGTGCATGGAACCAGGTCAAGTGAGGGGCCTAGGTCTTGGAGGCTCGCTCTAAATATACAATCCTTGCTCATGGCCTGAAGTATGCCTAGATGCTGATGGGTGTATTGTATCCTGCTTGTGTTAGCTTATGGATTCTATATATATATAGCATAATTGCATTAAACCTGATGGACTATGGATTCATAAAACCTTGTTATTATGCTTACTAAACTGTGCATTGTAGATACTCCAGTTGTAGCAAACCTCAGAATATCAGTACATTATGGCTCAAGAATTTTACAGTATTGCTGTATGAACTGACTACATTAGCTCCAGGGTTGTAATGCATAAATTTATAACAATTCTGCACCAGATTCGAGCATGAAAATCTTCTCAGGGTAGCTAGCTATCTTTTCCGTACCCTCTGTTTTAGCGTCAGGTAATACAAATTCCTCTCTGCCCTTTTGCTCTTTGTAGAGAGCTACCAAACGGTATTTAAGGCTTTTTACCTATTTTCATCTCAACCCAGGCTGTTTTGACCAGCCGGTAGCATCACTGCATGGCAAGAAAGAGAAACGAGTTTGGTGAATGGCATTCCTAGTGACATTGTCATAAATAAATCTACTTGTACTAATAAAAGCATGAGTTTGGTGAATCCAAATGATCTGAGCCATCCAACCACCTATATCCAACGTCTCACGCTACTCCAATGATGTATCTATCACATCATCAATAATTTGGAAAAGACATTAATTGCATTAAACACAATTAATATTGAAATCAACATTAGTTATGGTTACTTTTGGAAATAGTATTACTGCCAAACTAGATGTGCGTGCACATACACGATTAGTAGTATATTATATTACATTCTATTATCGCTTGTCACAGAACTAGTTATCAACATGCGCTGCATGTATTAATATACACGATTAGCTGCTATTAATATACCGGCTAATATCAACATGCGCTGCATGTATGCATTTAGTAGTTGTCATAAATATTCCATAAATAAAATGTATGCATGTGTGGGGCTTAAGACCCCAGTACAACCACCGAAAACACAAAGCTCAAGGCTGTATAAAATTAACAAGGTAGGATCTTAGCTTGGCTTTGACCCTCTTAACAGGTAGGCCTAGATCAGATTTGAGGCACAACCTCCAGGAGATCCTTGGTGGGGCAATTCCTTCCAGACTCTTGTGATTATGTTCCTTGCATCCAGAATTTAGCCACAGGACCATAATTTAATTGCTTACAGGGCTGCTAATCATATTTCATTATCAGATGAAGGTACTAACTAAAGAACCTTTTGGTAGTATGTCAGCTATCAAATATGTGAGGCATATATAAATGCTTGCTCATCTGCAACATGTCTTATGCAGTCCCGGGGTGCTAATGAGGATGACAATGTTTTGGCTTCTGCTAGTTGATGCATCGCACCAAACCTGAAGCTCAACATTGCTTTTGTAGAGTACCTGTACCTTTTCTCGTGTTCCAAGCTTTTGTAGTCTCCTTCAAAAGTTGTTGATGTTTCTTGCTTCCTGAATCCTGATGGTCTGTCGTTTTGCTTCCGGTTTTCTCAATAAAGCAGGGTGTGGCTTGTTCAAGAAATATACTCCCTCCATAAAGAAATATAAGAGCGTTTAAATCATTACTTTAGTGATATAAATGCTCTTATATTTCTTTACAGAGGGAGTATATGCTTATCGAATGAATTGCTCAATAGGCTCACTTAGTAATATCCAATGCCCTTGCAGGGTTTTAAAAATGGCTGCAGAGCACAGATGAACATCTCATTCATTTTCTATTGATTCTTTACAGCAAGCACAGAGTATCCGAAAGTGGAAAATGCGATGAATATTTGTACTGTGTCCGGTTAGACAAGGTTTACGTCTGACAAATTGCTGCACTATGTTGATGCAACCTAATACTTACATGAATAATTGGTATTTTGTTGGCATGCCCATGCCCTATCAGTATACCACAATCTGTGTCGGCATGCTCAGTTGCTCTAGTATGTAACTATCATGGGACATTTGTTTGCAATCTTTCCATCTCTGGAAGCCGCTAAAGCTGGCACTGATGCCTGGTTCAGGATCAAGAAACAGACATGCTACTGCTCCTTTTGTGGCCAAACTGTTCATTAGCTCCTAAAGCTATCGGGATTTAGGATATGCTCTTCTGTCCTGCAGAGTTTCTTTGAAGTTATGCTCTTGGAGTTGGACAGCTCGAGATGCTCTCTGATAAAGAAAATCCAGGTTCAAAGATATCATGGATAGTCAGAAATCTTGGATACACATTTCAGTTCATGTTTTGCTTCCTTTAATCACAAGGTCCAGCGATGCTGACGGTATGGCAGCACTGCACATCAAAAGCCGTATGATTTTTGCCTCTTGACTGGTCTGGTCTCTGGTGGCAGGCCGTAGCTGTTTATGAATGCTACACGAGCAGCCTTGAGAAAGATCTATGAGCAGGAGAAGGCCAGTGTCGCAACAGTATTTTTTCTTTCGTTCAGTTTTGTATTGTGCCCATTATGCCAAAACTGCAAACTATGATGTACAGTCTGAGACTTAAACTCGTTTTTTGTTGTCTCTGCGGGCTTGTACACTCTGGCGACGATCATTGAGGAGATCAAGGTTCAGTGCAAGTCCTGTTTCTCATAGAAGAGGTGCAAAACCGTGCCGTGCATCTGTTGGCTCAGTCAGGCTCTACTTCTCTCTGTTGATCAACCCATATACTGGTTGTTCCAGTACAAGTCGCGGAGCGTGCAACGGCCGATATTGTCATCGTTGCTTCGCAATAAAGCTTTGCTTTACGTTGAAAAGAAAAAAGAGTTGGGAAGTTGCTTGGTCTGACATCTCAGTTTGGAGTTTTTTTTTTGCGGGGTAGTTTGGAGTTGTAATAGTAAATTAAAAATACATTTACGGGCCGTCTTCAGATAGTGCCAACTAATGTTATTATTATGCGCTTGTATGGAACAAAAAAACATACATATGGTATTCAGATGCTGATTATTATGTTATTTTCGTTACTGGAATATATATTCTGAATGACCTGCTTAATTTGAGTTAAGGTGGTGTTAACGTGGGGTTCGTGCCGCATACCCCCTGAGGTCGGCCTTACTGCTTATCTCACATCTCCTTCATACTCATGCGATTAAATTCATGTACAATGTTTGTATTTCTAATTTCACAAAATTAGATGTGATTATGCATGCTAATCGATCAACTTCTTGTAGCTCTAGGGTTGGCGTCCTTGAACCACTGATGCTTGAGCGCTCGATTCGCCACTGATGCTTGAGCGCTCGATTCACCGGGAGTCTCTTCTCCGGGTTGCTTTGTAGAAGACCTTGATTCGCCGGGAGTCTCTTCTCCGGGTTGCTTTGCAGAAGACCGCTCAAGACCTCGAAACCAGCCTCCAACAGTGTTTTCTTTACCTTTTTTGTGGAAAAGATTTTTTTACTTTAAACACAATAAAGAATCTGAATACCAACACACCAACATGGTGTTGGAAGAGAGGATTAAAGGACACCACACTAATTGTCGTCGTCATACTCTATATAATTATCACTTTTACATCAAGTCACACAACTATCACTTACAAACTAATATCAAGATATCCACGACCGGCCTAATGTAATCTTATATATATTCAAGAAACAAATATAATCATATATAGTGCTCACTCACTTTTGGTGTAGAAAGACGTATTCTTATCGAGGATAACACATCAAATTGTGAATAGATAGGCATGATTCCGAATATTGTATCACACATCTAAACTGCACATCTACAACAAATTTATGAATATTTGATCTGTCATACACGGCAAGCAAACAAACATTAAATTAGTTGAACCCCAAATTAAGAGCAAGAAACCAAATTGCAATCAGGCGTTACAATATGTGTGTGGCGGTGATCCACACGAACAACTCCTGCTTACTTATCTCACACCTCATCCATACTCATTCGTTAATTCATGTACGATGCTTGCATTTCTAATTTCACAAATTAGATGTGCTAAAAGTATGCTAATCGATCAACTCCTGGTAGCTCTAGGGTTGGCGTCCTTGAACCACCGATGCTTGAGCGCTTGCTCCGCCGTGAGCCTCTTCTCCGGGTTGCATTGTAGAAGACCGCTCAAGACCTCGAAACCAGCCTCCGACAGTGTTGGCGGTCCTTTTATCCTGGCCTCAGCGGGACATGGGAACTTGTTGCGCAAGAAGCTTCCTGGTTGGCATCCGCTAGGTAGCCGCCGCCCATCGTAGCCCGACCACTCCTTGATGTCTGCCATGCCAAGAAGGGCCAAGATTTCGCTGAGGTGATCCATGTCCGACCTCCCATGGAAAGGGTGCTGGCCGGCGAGGAGCTCGGCCATCATGACACCGAGAGCCCATGAGTCGACACGCTCGTCGTAATCCGTGGACCCGAGGAGGATTTCTGGCGCGCGATATCCCCGTGTCCCAATAGGATTAGAGTAGGGCGGCCCGTCGGCCATGCTGCACGATAGCCCCAGGTCGCAGATCTTGAGGTTCCCGTGGCTGTCCACAAGCACGTTCTCCGGCTTCAGGTCCCGGTGCATGAGGCCGAGACGATTCATCCTCCTCTCGCCGGCGAGAAGCTGCCTCATGAGAAGACGAACCTCCAGCTCGGTGTGCCTCCTCCCAAAGCGGACATGCTTCATGACGTGCCTGAGAGTCGGCCCCACAAACTCCATGGCGAGGAAAGCCCCGCTGTCAAGTTGGCCGGAGCCACGCGGCTGAACGATGGACGGGTGGCCGCTGTACGCCTCGAGAGCACTGACCTCGCTGGCGAAGTCGAAGAGGTAGCGTTCGGCGTCGCCGGCGCCGTCGCTCGCACGGAGGCACTTCACCGCCACGATCTCACCCGTGCGGCGGTCCCTCGCCCGGTAGACGACGCCGAATGTTCCTGCGCCGAGCACCTCAAGCCGCTGGAACCGGCCGCTGCTTGCGCGGGAGCTTGAGTCGCCGTTAGTGGCTGCTGTTCTCTGATTCTTACGCGTCGCCGGTGTGCCCATCACCGCGTCTAGGGCGGCAACGCCCACGCGTTGCGGTGTCGAGGTCGACCACCCCATATTTCTCCGAGAAAAATCGCAGAGATCGCACCGTGAGGGTACACGATCGACCTACCGGACGATCAGCTTTGCTTGATCGACTGCTCGGCGGCTAAAAAAGCTAGACGGCCGGAGCGAGGATTGCTTTTGCTTTATTTCTCACAGCCGTATGGGTATGGCCATGTGCTGTATATATAGACGGCCAGCACGCTAGCGCTACACGACTCGTGAAGGACACTAATCAGGTTCGGACACGGACTACACTGTTTCTACGCGTTACTCAGTTGATCGGCCTAATTACGCAATGTCCATGTCCGTCATTGGTGCACCGTTACCACCAGCACGGCAATCATGAGTACTTATATCTATCAATTTCACACGTGAGATATTTAAGCATCGTCTTAGAGAGGCTGAGAGAGCAGCACATGTTTTAGCTAAACATGGTATGGAGTCATGGAGACGCTTTGGCTTTCTTAATTCTGTTGGTTTTGATCTGACGGCTTAACACGCAGTTAGATCTATTAATCTAACAAAAAAAATTAAGGGGATAACGACAAGTGAAGGGGTCCACGTACCAACGTACGTGAGCCTCGATCAGAACTAACGCGCCCTGATCGGGGGCGCCCAAAAACCAACTCAGGTTTTGGGTCCCCTGTCGCCAGTGCCATATAAATGGATACGGGAGAGAGCTGGCCACTTGCGCGATCACAATTCACGTAAGGTTTACTCTCCTCCCGATATTCTCACCCCATCCGATCAGGGGGAGCGCTGCAGCGACGAGAAGACTCAAGCCAGCCGCCGCTGTTGTCCCCGGCCAGTGCCGGTGGCGTCCTGAAGGAAACATGACGTTAAGGAGAACCTCTGCTTCGACTACATCACCCCTGCATCACGCCTGCACCGAGCAGACGATTATGTCGACTCCCGTGACGTGTAAAGGATCTCTAAACCCTCTCTGTTCATGTTTATTAGGTGATCTAGATGCTATCTGTCTCAGCTAATGGCATCCCATAGATGCATAATTACTCCAACAATGGTATCAGTCGCCAATCTTGATTGCAATGGATCCCTATATTATTGATCTGTGAGATCAACATCAAGTTTAGATCAAGTCAGGTTTAGGGTTTTATGGTCAAGATTGCAAGTTTCAGCCCCTGGTTAGCCCTAATATGCATGCTACTGTCTTGATGCCCTCTGTAAATCATCATGTTGTTTTTCTAATTGCTACAGATTAAGTACTGTTATCCTTTGGTTAATCTTTTTTAATTAATCTAAGTTAAGATCTAATGCTTACTTTTATGTTAAGTTGATTAAAATTGATTATGCTTAAGTACTGTTTCCGTATGCATTAGCAAAATATTAGGCAGAGGGATACACGCAAGTCAACAATAGCAACCCCTCATGTTTAAGAACCCTAATTCTGCAATTAGGACTGTTTTTACCCCAAATCAAGTACTAATGCACACGAATCGAAGAAGAATGAGGAGAATCCTCACCTAACGCGCCGCGTCCTCGCCTCTTCCCTTCGGGGCCCGCGCAGCGCCCACCGTTGCGCGAGGGCGAAGACGCCGCGACGCCGCCGTACTCGGGACGACGCGCGGAACGAAGTGCCGCCGCCGCCGCTCTAATGGACGCACCCTTGTTTGGCCGACGCCGAGCAAGTCGCCGTCGCTCCTCATGCCGCGGTGGTCGGCGTTCCTCCACCCTCCTTGATGTGCCATGCGCACGAACGCCGGAGCCACACTCGACGGAGAAGCGCGCGGGAATGACTCCGCTGCACGCTCCTCCGGCGAGCGCAGCCATCGCGCCGCCATGGCCGGCGTGCCTCGAGCCGCCGTCGAACGCCGTCGCCGCTCACTATAGGAGCGTGAAATGCGGGGGGTCACGGGGAAATGGCTAGGGTTCTGGCCGAGCGGCTGTTTTGTTCCAGCCGTGATCGACACGGACCGTCGATTTCCATCGAACGGCCGGCAGCCACGCTCAGCTCCACCGCGGGCCTGGGGGCACTTAATGGGCCATATCCGGCTGTGGGCTGCGGCCTAGGTTATGTAAGTCCAGCAGAAAAAAAACTTCTTCTGGGCTGGACCGTTTTACGTGTACCTGTGGGTATTTCGGGCTGTTTCCAGTGCACTTTAAGTTAATACACATTATGTTTTTTGCACTGTTTTAGCCAGAAAATATCTGAGATAATAATGAATTAAAACATGCTATTATTCTGGGTAAAATTGAACCAACGAAATATTTTATTCAGGATTTATTATCTGTTTGCATGATGAATATTTTTTGAGACAAAAAAAATGATATTTTTCTTATGTTGATGTCTAAATTGAGAATGAAATGACTCTGATTTTAATTCGGACCAACGTTGTTTTATTATTATGAGTCATCACTTATGATATTTTAATTCCATGTTTTTTCTGCCCAACGGTGTTTTGACATGGAGTTGAAATTAAATACATGGCATGTCTATTTTATTTTGCCAACGTAAAATTTAATATTCATGTCAATTACTTATAAACTTTTTCATGTCCATTACAACTTCCGCTGCGTTTACTGTCAAACTGTTGACAGGTAGTAACTTCCCTCGTTGGAAGAACTCGATGGAATTATGCCTAGCCGTCCATCAGTTTGATTATGCTTTACGGGAGGATAAACCCGTGGCTCCCGCTGCTGGTGTCACGGGGTATGCTGAACTAAAGAAAATTTATGATTCCAAGATGGAGATATGGGAAAAGTCAAATCACATTGCTATGCTTGTGATGAGATCATCCATATCACCTGACATAATTGGGGCACTACCCAAGAAAGATACTCCTAAGGAATTCATGGCAGCCCTGGAGGAGCAATTCAAAGGCTCCGACAAGGTTTATGCACAAGAGCTTTTTCACAAGCTCCTTGGGAAGTATAATAATGATGGTGATGTCAGGGCTCACATTTTAAAGATGGTGAATGCTTGTAACAAATTGAAGGCATTACAATGTGAGCTCAATGACAATCTCCTTGTCATCATGATCTTGGACTCCCTCCCTGAAGAGTTTGATCAATTTAAGATTAACTATAACTCTCTTAAAGAGAAATGGACAATCGCGGAGATATCTCCAAGAATTGTCGAGGAAGAAGAGAGGATTAAGAGGCAAGGAAAGGACCAAGAGAAAACACGATGGAGCAAGCTCTTCTAAGCAACAGCCTCAAAAGAAGTCCTTTAAGAAAAATTCATCAAACTCATATAAAGCAAAGGAGAAGGTGGACGATAAGCCTAAAGACACCAAGTGCAACTTTTGCAAGCATGAGGGTCATTATCAGAAAGACTGTCCAGAATTTCTCAAATGGTTGATGAAGAAAGGTACTGATGAAATTACTTTCATTGATGAAATGTTATATCTTGATCTAGTACCTCTTGGTGGATTGATCAGGTGCAACTTCTCACGTTGCCAATTCTATGTAGGACTCAAATATAATCCAAACCATGGCAAGGGGGGCAAGAAGACTTAAGGTGGCAAATGGAGTCGAAGTTGATGTTGAAGCCATAGGGTCAATCACCTTAGAACTCCACACTGGCTTCCGTCTTCATTTAAACAATCTTCTTTATGTCCCTATCTTAAGTAGGAATTTGATTTCTGTCTCTTGCCTAGATGATAACATGTTTGAGAGCAAGTTTGGGAACAAACAATTTGTTTTGAATTATTGTAATAAGAACGTAGGCCTCGGCGTCACACGAGGCCAATTATATATGTTATCATTGAATGATTCTATCCTGCATGTGAGTGATGTATGTAATATTGAGAAGAAATGGAAGGGTACTGTTGGGGAACGTAGTAATTTCAAAAAATTTCCTACGCACACGCAAGATCATGGTGATGCATAGCAACGAGAGGGGAGAGTGTGATCTACGTACCCTTGTAGATCAACAACGGAAGCGTTTGGTTGATGTAGTCGTACGTCTCCACGGCCCGACCGATCAAGCACCGAAACTACAGCACCTCCGAGTTCTAGCACACGTTCAGCTCGATGACGATCCCCGGGCTCCGATCCAGCAAAGCGTCGGGGAAGAGTTCCGTCAGCACGACGGCGTGGTGACGATCTTGATGTACTACCATCGCAGGGCTTTGCCTAAGCACCGCTATAATATGACCGAGGTGGAATATGGTGGAGGGGGGCACCGCACACGGCTAAGGAACGATCACGAAGATCAACTTGTGTCTCATGGGGTGCCCCTTGCCTCAGTATATAAAGGATGGAGGAGGAGGAGGCCGGCCAAGGCAATTGGTGCGGCCAGGATGTGGAGTCCTACTAGGACTCCAAGTCCTAGTAGGAGTCCACCAAGAGGGGAGGAAGGGAGAAGGAAGTAGAGGAGAAGGAAAGGTGGCCG